CCACATCTTATATAAATTATCTTGCCGTTTAAATTTTAGTTGCATATATTCTTTTTACACTAGAGAGAGGATGGTCAACCTATCAACGACTTGTTAATTCGAATAGAAATAATTTGATTTTTTTTAAGTAAGATCTCGAGTTCGAGTCTTATGAATCGAAAAACAGACGTTAAGAAAGTTTTCTCCTAATAGAGTTCGATGCGATTCGATTCCAAATTAATCAGAACTTAATGTGATTACCGAATACTGAAAGATTAATACCAAAAAAGAGAGGACGGTCAATCTACTCCAAAGTGCAAATGCAGCACAAGATTTAAATTTGATACCTGTAATATAAACAGCGCAAACTTGATAAGAATATTATTTGCAGATAATAACTTCATCTTCATGTAACACCAAGCGAACAATAAATCTGCATAAACCATATCATGAGAAAGGAGAAACACTTTAACCATGTACAGCACGAGCCAGGAGGGAATATACTAGTGTCCAATGTAGGAGAACCTTTGGGGTTCTTGTTTGACTTCTGAAACAGGGACGTGGTCATGGCCATGGAACCAGTACTTCATATTGGTGGACCAGCTCCAAAAAAAAAAGTTAAAAAAAAAAAAAGAAAAAAAAAAAAAGGGGGAAACCTGTTACTTGTTGAACAGCTTTTCCTTTGGGGGTCCAGATAAAGCAGGACTGGAGAATCAACTAGAGCTCCTTTTGAATCAAAAGTGGAGTCTTTGTTGACATTCTTCTTAAATTATATTCTCCCAAGTCAAATCACTAAATCACAGATAGGAAACAACTGCATGCATGGTTGCTTGGAGACAAAGATGGCTGCCATCATCTAACTTCAAAACCCTTATCTACAGAACAGAGAGACTAACAGGTGTAAGTGCTTTTGCAGAAAGTAATGAAGAGTAAACTCAATGAACCATCTCTTGCTTTATCTCTCACCTCGTTACAGTGCATCAGCTGTGTATATTGTTATGTCTGCTGCCCTTTCTTAATCCTCTCCATGCAAGGTAGAAAGTCAGTGCTTGATCACTGTATAGTTTAATGAGTCCATAGATTCTGATTATCATAGAAATAAAAAGAAGGAAACAAAGCAATCTTTGATCAGATCTTCACAGGAGAAAAAGACAAACCAAATTGTTGATTCTTTGGTGTAAAAGGACTCCACTGCAGAGCTTTACACCATGATTCCTTTGAAAAAGATTAATCATACATGAAAACACCAGGTAATATAAGATTTTAGATTTGATATGATTTAAAGCCAGAAAATTCGTATCAATAAGCACTAACAGAATATGATACAAGACATGATTCATACGAAACTGATTTCCATTCTGCCTTCAGCTTTCTGCTAAAACATACATTGAACTTTGATAACAGGTGCAAATCCATTTTATTCATCTTAGCATAATGACAGAGAGATAAGGAAGTCAGGAAAATATTCTGGTTGATCACTGGGCCCCTATGCATCTGAATTATGAAGATAGAACATTCTATGATTATAGGATGCTAGAGCAAGGACAGAAACTTGAAGATTCTCAAGGTATCGTCTTGAGCTCAAGCAGGATGCAATTATTTCCCCTCACTGCTTATATATACCTTCCCCCACTCTCTCTTCTTTCTCAGACCGTCCAATACCTTCATCTTAGCTATTATAATACACCAATCAGTTTACAGCCATCAAATCATCAACAGCAACAACATGGAAACTTCAGAGACCCAAAGGTCTCTAATTCTTCCACACACATATTGCACACTAACAAATGATTTTGAGTAGCTCTTAATACTAAGTTAATCAAATGATATTGCAGGAACAAGTGTGCAGCATGCTTCAAACAGTTCAACAGAATTGAGCACCTTGTGGATCACATGCGAAAGTCATATCATTCAGTTCATGAACCCATGTGCGGAATCTGTAAGAAACACTGTGGTTATTTTGACTCCCTAAGAGAACATCTTATAGGTAATAAGCTTTCATTCAGTCTATGATTTTCAATCCAATTTTTTGTTGCCTTGGACTCAAAAGAACAAGAACAACTTTGCTTCTTAAAAGGGCCATTGCCAAGACAAGAGTGCAGGAACATATTCAGTGTCAGAGGATGCAAGTTCTGTTTTGCAATTCTGGATAGTCCTCATTCTCGCAGGATTCATCAAGAAAGATGCCAGTTCTCTGGGGTAAATACTGTACTAATTGTTAGCTTTCACCTACAAGATTCTCAAAGTTCTTAATCATCTTCCCATAATCAGATTGAGTTCTATATGATCATGTTCAATTTATTCTTGCAGGGAATAGCTTTCCGAATGGCTAACCTAGGCATCTGTGACAACCTGACCATTGACAATGGCTTTGCGAGGGGTCCACAAGTAGTTGCCCTAACCTGCAAAATGGTTGGAGGTGGCAGTGATGGATCCTTAGATCTTTGTGCTAGGGTTTGCCTCATTGATGAAAATGAGAATATAATCTTCCATACTTATGTCAAACCACCCTTGCCTGTCACAAACTACAGGTGAAGATCACCTTAAACATCTCTTCTAATAAACCTAACAAAAATCAGACTAAAATCAACCAACTTCACATTTTGTAATACTTTTTTCAGGTATGAAACCACTGGTATTCGTCCTGAATTTCTTTGGGACGCAATGCCACTGAGGCAAGTGCAGAAGAAGATTCAGGACTTCCTGTGCAATGGGGAACCCATGTGGAGGATTCGACCTAAAGGTGGAAGAGCCAGGATTCTTGTTGGTCATGGCCTTGATCATGATCTTGACCGTCTGCAAGTAGAATACCCAGCAGTCATGATAAGGTAAAAGCTCATCAAGAACAACAGACAAATTGGAGACTGGTCTCTTCTCTCTAGAAATTCTAATTCATAGGAGCTTGATATCAATTTTACAGGGATACTGCAAAATATCCACCTTTACTGAAAACAAACAAACTCAGCAACTCACTCAAAAACTTAACTCAAGCACACCTTGGGTAAGTATATCTACAAATCATTTTTTCTCCATTTTCAGGTACATTAAGGGAGAATAATGCAACTGTCTGTATAAAGGTATGACATACAAAGTGGCATTCAAGATCCATATGAGGAATGTGTTGCAACAATGAGGCTTTACATGAGGATGAGGTCTCAAGGTCACAAGAAAGAAGATTACCCTCTAGCTTCAGACCCACCAAATCGGAACAATTTTGCATTGTCAAGGCAAACTGAGCTAGAGAAGATGACCCCTGAGGAAATGCTGGCAATTTCAAGGTCTGACTACTACTGTTGGTGTTTGGACTCTCCATGACCATTGAAGGAAAATATGTAGAGGGGAGATGAGGAAGGAGAGATTTCCGGTCAAGGTATCCATTTCAGGATCACTAGACAATATCAATAGTCAATAAGAGGGAAATATTTGTCATTTCCCCAAGATTATTCTAAGTATTTAATAGACTACATGTATACCCAATCCTTCAATGCTAATGATATTTATTATATGCAAACTGCTGGATCAAAATTAAGACAATATATACAAGAAATATCAAGAATGCATTCATGATCATTATTGTTTGGAGCACTAACTTGCTTTCCTCGTCCTGATTAAGAAGAAACTTCGCAAACCAAATCCTTGATTATGGAGTAAGATCTTCATGAAATTAACAAATTAAGAATCAAGGAGAATTACAGGCTAACAGTGAAAGAGAAGCAAGGGAAATTAGTACCATCCACGCACCTGGTGCTACCTTTGCCTGATTCCAAGGACCATGACAGATCATAAAACTTCATCTGAACTGTGGGTACCGGACAAAAAAAAAAAAACCTAATCAGTCACAAAGGAAAAGCAGAAAAAGGATCATCCACCATGAAAAAGAAGAAACACGAAACCAAGATGCTTACACTAGGATAGCGTCTGTGTGTGTGGATCAAAATTAAGACAATAAATTCAAGAAATATCAGGAATGTGTTAATGATCATTATTGTTTGGAACACTTCCTTTCCTCATCCTGATTAAGAAGAAACTTCGTAAACCAAATCCTTGATTATAGTGTAAGATCTTCATGAAATTAACAGATTAAAGAATCAAGGAGAATTACAGGCTAACAGTGAAAGAGAAGCAAGAAAATTAGTACCATCTACTCACCTGGTGCTACCTTTGCCTGATTCCAAGGACCATGACAGATCATAAAACTTCATCTGAACTGTGGATACCGAAAAAAAAAAAAAAAAAAAGGCAGAAAAAGGATCATCCACCACGAAAAAGAAGAAACACGAAACCAAGATGCTTACACTAGGATAGCGTCTGTGTGTGTGGATCAAAATTAAGACAATATATTCAAGAAATATCAGGAATGCGTTCATGATCATTATTGTTTGGAACACTTCCTTTCCTCGTCCTGATTAAGAAGAAACTTCGTAAACCAAATCCTTGATTATGGTGTAAGATCTTCATGAAATTAACAGATTAAAGAATCAAGGAGAATTACAGGCGCACAATGAAAGAGAAACAAGGGAAATTAGTACTATTCACGCACCTGGTGCTACCTTCGCCTGATTCCGAGGACCATGACAGATCATAAAACTTCATCGGAACTGTGGATACCGGTAAAAAAAAAAAAAAAAAAAACCTAATCAGTCACCCAGGAGAAGTAGAAAAAGGATCATCCAAGAGGAAAACGAAGAAACACGAAACCAAGATGCTTACACTCGGATAGCGTCTGTGTATGGAGTGCGAAGCAGGAACTCAGATCATCGATCATGAAAACGGGATATACAGTACAACATCCATCGGAATTAAGCCGGAATCAACAATATTTGGTGGAATTCGGTGGAAGAATTCAAATGATTGTTCCTTTCTTGCTAATCTAGCATTATCATTTCTTCGCATACTGAATAATTTGAGAAACGATTCAGGTACGTATGGTCACGGTGGTGTTCATTCTTTGAAGCAATCCGCAAACTCCGGCATGAAGGAGGAGGGTGATTTTAGCATGAATCAGAGGATTACGTCGCGGGACCAACTGTCGTGTGTTGGCCGATTCCATCCTACCCTCTTCCGTTGGGATTTACGATATGAGAAAGGAGAGGACAAACACAGGCCCACAATATAACTAGGCGGGATCTGTATTGCCAGGGCACTGCTTCAACCAGAGAAGCCCATGACAGTTGAAAAAAATAAAAAAAACAAAAGCCCATGTTTAAAAAATGAATCTCGTGAGATGGGTTAATTAATACTCGTTATTAACTTCTCAATAGTCACTCCGTGTGTTTGTAACAAAATAAGTGATTTTTTTTTTTTTTAGAAATAAAAAATTTTAAATTTGAGTTACATGATATATAAATAAGATGAAATAAAAAATAAAAAAAATTACTTCTCGTTGTACAATCAAAATTTAAATATATATATACATATATATATACACACGTGCTTATACCTTGATCAAGTCCATTCATGAGATTGGATAAATGGCCATTTTTCCGGTTGCTCTTAGTTTGAACGAGGAAAATGCTTCCACAGTCGAGAAAATGAAAATGGGCCTTTCGGATACGACATTGACTTTACCATTCCACTCCCCATGAAAGACGTTTTTTAGTATGATTATAGTTATTTATTATTTTGTTAAAATTATTTAATTTAATTTAATAATTAAAAAATTAATAATTAATAAAATAATTAATACACATTATTTAATAAATTAAAATTAATTTATAAATTAATATTTTTAAATATTATAATTAATTATTTAAAAATTATCATAAACAAATAAAATATCGAGAAAAATAACTTCTTAGATAGCCTTAACATAACATTAGAGTACATTCCCCTATCATAAGCGATGGCAGCAGCGAAACTCTTTATCCAAATTCTTACATTGTTCGATTCAACTTTTGAATTTCGTCTGCAGTGCAAATGAAAATGAAACATAAGCCATGTTTGAAAATGGAACTTAAGCCATGTTTGGTGTAACTGGTGAGAAATCCTTTTAGACTTCAAAAGTTTCAATTACACCAAACACTATAATTTATAAAAAATACTATAACTCTTCATAAATTAATATTTTTTTCATTTCATTGCAAATCTCAAAAGTACTGAATTAATATTTTTGCAAAAGCTTCTCATTTGAGTTTCAATGAAATTAACATATTATTCTTTTTTATTCTTAATTTTCTTTCTATTCACAAAAACAACACTTTTACAATAGTTTCTTTTCAACATAATTTCTATTAAAAGGTCCAGCCCCACCAAACAGGTACAGTAGACAAGTTTTTTTTTTTTTTGGCACACATATTTTTTCCTTTCCCCTTTAGTGTTTTTCTCTTCAGCCAGTCTATTATATAACTCATGGATGGCCGATATATATGGGCCCTGATAGCATGAACAGCTATATGGATTTGAGGGTACAGAGGGTATAACCAGAAACAACCGAGCTCAAGGCCATGGAAATAAATGCAACAAAGGACAATGCTACAGATGCCTTTGCCATCTCTGGGAACTTATCTTCTCCCCAGTTTAATTGCCAGTCATCAACTCGGACAGCAGCTGAGGATGATGCCGATAAGAGAAGATAACTTACTATCTGCCAATTAAACAGGCATTTGTTATTTCACTTTAAGCGTGTGCCAGTACATAGAGACATAAAATCACGTCATATTAAAGCATTGAAATAGGTTTTTTTGCCATGAGGTATATCTTGTCTTGAAGAGTTTTAGGGACCAAGTCAAGAACTCCTAAAGGTAAGGTACAAAAGATAAATAACATGCCTTTTCTGGTGGAACTATGACATTTTGCATCTTAGAATAAAACTAGCAACATAAAAATAAATAAATAAATAAATAAAATAACATAAAAACAAAATAAAAATAAAAAGAAAGAGTGAGAGAGAGAGGTGATAGGAATGTTAAAAAGAATATAACTAACTTCTCTTTTTGCCTAGTATCTTATCACAACAAAGGGGAGAAAAAGGAAGCCTAAAAAACTATTCCAAGTGTCTTTCCTTTGCACATCATTTCCACTAAAATTACTTCTTTAGCGTTGGCATCTAAAGTTCTGTTGCGACTTCGTGGATATGAATGTTAAAATTAGCACTTTACACGTCCTTTGGCATTGTGGATATTGATGTTAAAATTATTACTTAACACATCCATTGTATTTCTTTTAACTATTGATTTCAAAGTAAAAATTTCGACACTACGGTAATGAAACCCCAGAAATCCAGATTCTCCACTTTTAAAAAGTGAGAACTTTTCCTCTAGCCAGAAAACTAAACAGGGAACTTGGTAAAGGGAAGGCAGTATTATTATGGAGGGAAAGGCTTCAAAAAGTCATCTAAAAGTTGCTTAAAAACTGAATGGTCCAGAAAAATTCTATTCTAAGAATTTCTAAGTGCATCAACACCTACAAAGACCCATAGAATGATGACACGCACTGGCTGTGTCTTCCAAAATTTAGTGATTAGCATAACACCGTCCAATGGACTAAGAGACCAACTTTTATAGCCCGTGGTCCCCGTTATTATGTCATCACAGCCAACCTAAAATTTGGTTTGTAGTTAAAGCCGGACCTATGTTAGATATGATAATTAATCTAAGAAACATCATCTTCTATTCTAAAGAAAAATACCTGATCCAAAGAGAAATCCAAGTAATACCGGAGGCGGGGTCGAGTCTTCTGTTTGCTGGTGGCCAATCCATAGGCTAGACCATATGCCTGGAAAGCTGAATACACAAATCCTATTACAGTGACTGCCATGGAATACCTGCAATCCGAAAAGACTAACCATGGATCAAAAAACATATCAAATACTCTTACATAAAAACATAAAACAAATCAAATTAAACAAAATCAAGCTACTTATTGTAAAGCGTAAACAATTAAAAGCATATAACTTTAATGGGAGATTTAAAACAAGACATGAAATCTTGCTAAAAGATGACATCTTTAACATTTGGACGAACAAAATAAGCCCAAGATATGGAAAAGACGCTGGTTTTAGTGCACTATGTAAGTGTTCCTCAAATGTGAAGAAGCTGAATTGGTACTGAAACCATGAAATGAGATACCCATTTGCCTACCAAAATCACAAACATTGTAGCAATTACAGAATAAAAGAGATCACTTTCCAACTTTTTAGCTCACCAATTAGAGAATCAAAAAGGTACATTGAAAACAAACCTGAACTCCCGGTAGCGGTAGAAAGAATCAACGGCCCAGCCTTGATCCTTATCAGCAGCCAACACAGAGAAAGCAACCAAGCAACAAGCAAACCCACAAGTTCGAAACCCTAACAAAATCCTCTTCACCATCTTTTCCCTCTTGGTTCTCCTTAATATAGATAAATCAGGCCTCAATCTCCGCCTACTACCAGAATTAACCTTTTGCCCTTCAACTTCTACCGTAGCCCCAAAATCTGGGGATTCAGACCCAACCTTGACATCTGCCAATGTCGAGACCGGCGGCAGAGAGTTTGGATATGAGGGATATGAGGGTTGGGATTGGGGTGGTTCCCGTGGGGAAGACCCATGGCTGAGAGAGCAATTATCCGAGGAAGGAGGGGAATCGGATGAGGGTGACCGGCGTTTGGGATCTTTATAGGATTCAGACGACTGAGTGTTCCCACTTGGTGGAGGTGAAGGAGTCGGGACGGATACTGAGTGATTTTGCAGGGTTTGCTCTTGTTCTCGTCTTTTCTCCCTGGGTTTATCATCTTCCTCGACCCGATGTTGCTGCTGTTGCTGTTCTTTCTCCGTTTCTGCTGGTTTCATCTGATTTCGCAGCTGTTGATGTTGTTTCTCCCTTTCTGCTGGTTTTAGCTTATTTCGCTGCTCCTCCATTTCTGCTGGTCTTTCCTGATTTCGTTGCTCTTCCATTCCCGCCGATTAGACTCCCGACAAGATACTTTCTACCAGAAGTGGAACAGGGTGTGGAAGGCAGATTTTAGGAATGGAGACGATAGAAATATGTCCCCTGACCACTTGACGCTGACTCTATTTTTTTTTGCCTGGTTCCAGTAGGCCCAACTGCCATCGATAGTCCAACAATACCCTTGTCGATCACCAAACTCCAATAATATTATCATTTTTTCTTTTTGAGTATTAAGATAATTTACACAAAGGAATTGCTACATTTTTGGCCAGCAAAGAAAACTACAATTGGGATTTTACTCCTAGTCCTAAGATTCAGGTTATCATGGCCCTGAAGCATGGTGCATTACATATTCCACAAATTTCACAAAAAAACATGCACTTTGCAATGCTTATTTGATATCATAAGCCAGTTGTTAAGTATAACTAATGTATTACTAATGACCAATATTCAAGCTATGATACTATAATGCTAAAATTCCCCATTTACCTACTCCAAATTATACTTGTTAAAAATAAAAAAAAAATAAAAAAAAACTTGGTAGTGGGGGATGGATCATGGATAGGTTCCAGAAGATTGGGGTCTGGACCTAAAATGGCATCTTAGACAGTAACATCTACGGTAATAGTCTCTAGACTTGCCCGGTTTATCTCTGAGACAACCCTGCAGATCCTGCATTTGAAACAGCGTGTTTACCATTGCAAACTCAATTCAGTTTTCTAACTTGAAAGCTAAATCTGCAAGTGATCCAGCGTTGTAAAAAAACAATCACTTGGCCAAGCTGCTTAAAGAGGTTCCATTTTCTATCGCCTACTGGAAGCATCATGTTCGTCTGCAAACAAGATAAATTTGATTGAACGTCCAGATCATGAATTGAAGGGAATCAAACAAATCAGAGCACCATATTTCATAGTATTTGCCTACAACCCTGATGAAAATGGGCAGTCACTGTGAGATGAAATAAATCCAAACTACCTTCTCCTTCTGCTACATCTTATGATGCAACAATTTATTGGCTTTATAGATTGGAGTCTTCTCCAGCATCTGACAGTACAAATTGTTCACCAATTCTTGAAAGCAACCTTTTTAAAAAATGAAAATAAACCACCTGGCCCAATATCTTCAATCATAATTCACTTCTAAATCAAATTGTGAGAAAACATGGAGTCATGAACATCAAATAGATGGTTACATGATTCTAAAATATATCTTCAGTTGTTGACAAATAATCACAAGAAAATAATTACAAACTACCATGAAGAGGAGTAATCTGTCTTACAATTAATCTAACCAAATCCACTAATCCAAAAAAAAAAAAAAAATTCTAACCAAATCCAAGCAATTAACCTCATTGTTCAGAATCATAGCAGCCAACCCACACAAGGTGTAACTAATTAACATATTACGAGTTTAAGAGGCATTGCCCAAGAAGAAAAGGACATAACGAGAAGCATACGATTTAGAAATTCAAGAGCTAGCATTATCTTCCAATTCATCATCCACGAACACTCTCATTTTCTAAATTCCTCACGCAAAGCCAATTCCAACTGGATAAAACATCATTTCAACACGAATTCAAGTGAGAATCGGTAAAAATCTAATAATTAGAGCATCACCAAAGCTAGAAATCGACGTAGCTTTGAACCTCTGGTCAAGTACTCGACATGAAGTTCCAACTTATATACACATAGAACAATTGAATCCTAAACTCAAATCGACAAAAAAAAAAAGAAGAGAAGGAGAAGAATCTAGGGTTTATGGCGAGTGCATGAGCGATTTAGAGATGAGAGGGATTTCGTGGAAGGCGGCCTTTTAAGTTTTAGATATTGAAAGCCTGCTGCTCGACCAGCGTCTGTCGGCGCCGAGTCACGGTCAGACTCCGGGCCGATTCCATGATTCCACTGCAGCTGCTCCGGTGAGAAGTTCGGTGGTTCACCGGAATCCGCGCTGAGTTGATGACTAACTCGCCGTTTTTTTGTGGATCGGTAAACTTCGCTCTAAGAATGAACTAAGGTCGCCGCGCGAGATTTTCCCGCCACTCTGGGCCATACTTTCAAGGCCTCATCCAATTCATTTGGGCCGGTCCAACAGGATTAGATGAACTTTTTCCGTAGCTTTGTACCCTTTGAATCGTACCGAAGGGCTTGACTGCCCAACAAAGTGTCCATGTATACCTTTAATTAATCTTTTTCTTTAATTTAAGCTTCATTTTTGTATAATTATAATTTTAGATTTTTTTTGTTTTAATTTTATAAATTTTATAACTTTAATTTAAAAAATTACTTACTTTTATGTATTTTTGTAATATATTCTCATGATTATTAAAGAATAAAAAAAGAGTTTTAAATTACTAAATATGTTTATATTTTTTGTTATTAGTGTTAAATTTTAATTTTTTAAAATTTTTATTTTAAATTATTCCAAAATTTATTAAAAAATAAAAAATCACAACAACCATACTAAATGTAATCATAATAAAGGTATTTTGTTGTTTTCATGCCTTGAACTATAATTTTTTTATCTAGTCTAGAAAAAATTGGATTATTTTTTGAATCTTCTATTTTCAAACTATTAAAAAAATTATTATATAAGAAATAACCCCTAATATCATGGACATATTTTTTATCTAATAGTTTAAAATGCATAATTATTGATACCTTTTTTGCAATCTTTTTATATTCAAACCTTGGATATTTTATTTTTCAGTTACATAAACGTTGCTGTATTTAACTCTTATAAAAGCTGGCATCTTTTTAAAATCAACTTATGAGTTGATATTTTCAACTATCCTAACTGGTTATTTAAAAATAATGATAAATTAATAAAGTTACTAACGATTTGTTGGTTCAAGTAGAAAGAATTTGATTCCTTTTTAATAAGGTTTCGAATTCAAGTATTTTGAATGGAAAAATATATGCTGAAAGAATTTCTTTTCTAATGGGTTCGACCTGGTTTGATTTTAAATTAATCGAGACTCAATGTAGCTACCAGATATTTAAAGATTAGTACAAAAAAATAAATTAATAAAACCAACTAAACTAATAAATTAGTAAATTACTTCTATTATCATTATTATCATATAATTCCAACTTAAAGCCTTTTCTTTCATTGAGCGATTACTCTATTAAAGACTAAGAGCTTGTTTAGTATAATGATTTAGGCGTAATGGTTACTTATTAGTAATTTTATTTAGGTTAAATGTTAAATTTGGTCCCTCAACTTTAGTGAGTTGCACATTTTTGGTCCTTCAATAATTTTTTGCACTTTTTTGATCCCTCAACTATACGAAATGCACTCCATTAGTTCTTCTGTCAATTTTCGCCGTTAACTTAGCCACATGGCATTTTTTATATTTTTTTTGGATGACATGGCCAAAATAACTTAAAAGGCGCTGATTTGGACTTTTTTTGGCGACATGTCATCTTCCTTTCTCATCTTCATGTTATCTTCCTTTCTCATCTTCACTCTCTGCAAAATCAATCTTCACTCCATTTGCAGAATCAATCTTAAGCCATTTCTTCTTCTTCTCTAAATGCTCTTTCATCTCCACTCTTCTACAAAATCGATCTTAATCCATTTCTTCTTCTTCTCTTTTCTCAAGAGAACTTGAGAAATTGAACCCACCATTTCTTCTTCTTCTCTAAATGCTCTTTCATCTCCACTCTTCTACAAAACCGATCTTAATCCATTTCTTCTTCTTCTCTTTTCTCAAGAGAACTTGAGAAATTGAACCCAGTTACTGGGTTTCATTCAAACCTCAAACTTAGTAAATCTTATCAAATCAAATTAACCCTTCAATAAACAATATCAATCAAACTCTAATCAAATTCCAACAAAAATACAATCAAATTGTAAATCAACTCTCAAATTTATTAACAACTAGAAATGAAATCCAAAGAAGAATGAAAAAACATGAATCCAGCATAGAAATAGCAAAGCTGGGTTCATCGGAACCCAGCTGGGTTCGACGAGACCTAGCAGGGTTTGTCGGAATTGAGGTTGGGTTCGGGGAAACCCAGCCAAGTTGGGTTCGACGAGACCCAGTAGGGTTTGTCGGAACCCAACCTTGCTGGGTTTGGGGAAACCCAGCAAGGGAGACCTAGCCAGGCTGGGTTCGTCGAGGCCCAATAGGTTGGGTTCATCGTAGCCATCGGAATCCAGCCTAGTGGAGACCTAGGGCAGGAAAAAAAGAAAGAAAGAGAAAGAAAGAAAGAGAAAGAAAGAAGGGGAAGAAGAGGGATTGAGTGGGTGAGGGTAGTTAGATAATTTGATTTGTTTTTATTTAAACTATAAATATTAACCTACGTGTTATTTTTATTTATTTATATAATATTATTAAAATCTATATTATTGCCACATCATCAAAAAAATTAAAAGATAATTTTATTTGTTTTTATTTAAACTATAAATATTAACCTACGCGTTATTTTTATTTATTTATATAATATTATTAAAATCTAAATTATTGCCACATCATCAAAAAAATTAAAAGATAATGCCACATAAAATTATTTAACTGCCACATCATACTAACTGACGGAGGGACCAAAACTATGCAAATTTTAGAGTCGAGGGATAAAAAAAATGTAAAAAATTGTTGAGGGATAAAAAATATGCATTTCTTAAAGTTGAGGGACTAAATTTAGCATTTAACCTTTTATTTAAACTGTCAAGAATATGTATTTAATAAATTTATTAATTTCAAAATCACTATGAATTCAGTATTTGGTAAAAACTTTTATTTAGTAATTTGAAACTAGTAAATAACGGTTTGAGTACAAATTACTAGTGGATTAACATTTTTTAATTTTATTGA